TATATATTATATATAATTATATATAAAATATTCGTTTTCCCGGTACATAATAGCAGATCAAGATGTTGATCAAGTTGATAAATAGTAATACACAAATCCAAGATTAAATATATATCATAATCGTTTGTAGCTATTCCATTTTAAAATGATGTTAATGAGTCTATAAAGCGTTATATTCATTTCTAATATAATGATAGATCTGTACATTTTACACACAGATTCGTTACCTGATAAAATTTTTGTCACTCACCGACTGATCTCTCAGTATAAAGCCGTCTCCATTATATTTTATTGCACCTTTACTAATTGATTAATGACTTGATCGCAGCCGAGGTGGCTGCGCATATCACAAAAGAAGAAGAAAGACCGATTGATGCGCAGCAGTTGAGTTATCAGTTATGTGATTTCATGATTCTGTAACATACAAATATAAGATACAAGTTAAAATAGCGTTCAAAATAATCAATAATTAAAAAACTAAAAATTTTTATACACATTGAATCTTTCAATAGTTTTTTAATTATATATTCATTAAAATAATTATACATTTTCTCAAAAGTATCTTTATGAGAATAAATTTTCATGTTTTAGATTAATTCTTTTTTTTTAATTATTATTTTTAATTATTGAAATAAAACAACCTAATGGGAAGAAATGACTAATTTTTTATGCAAGCAAGCAATAAGCTTGCTTACCGCAAAGTTGATCCATTGCTTTTCCTGAGCCCCTTTCTCTTTCTCCTCCTCTTCTTCCTCCTCCTTCTCCTTCTCACAAATTATCAAGTCTGCTTTTCATCTCTCTTTTCTTCCCATTGTTTGATTTGTGACAGCATCTATCAATTTTGAAACAAATAGTTTATTAAAATTAAGTGCAGTTGCAAATAAATTGCTAAGAATGCGCCGTTTTGCACTTACAATGCTTGCAAATATCATTTATTCTTGTTTGATATTTGATAAACAAGGATGAACATTAGTTATTGTGTGAGCGTAAAAGCGAAATGCACTCTAAATATTATGCGACCATGTCATATTTTGTTCATATAATCGATGTTAATTAGACATAATGCATAGTTCACTACAGAAAAAAAACAAGAACGCAGGAAATTGTCATGTTTGATACTTTACAAATAAAATTTAGATATTGAAATGCATCTAAGATGGCGAAAGATTTCTGCACAGTTGATTTTACGCGATATGCTATTCGCATGAGTATTGTAAAATACGTGCTCGAACGAATTATCTGCATATTAGTGCCGAAATTATATTATAAAAAATTATTAGATATTTTAATAATTAGATATAAAATTAATATAAATTTTATTTACCAATTCAATAAGTCGCAACAGCACTCATTTGGAGCCAATCATCTCGTATTCGTCGCATTTTGCAAATAAAATATAAATGCATTTAATGTCACATTTATGTTGAAGTGATTTCGTCTCTCGCATTATCAATTTCACACGCCAAGAGTGTACCGCTGCGATACGGTGGCAATGTGCGTCTTTTTCTTAATGAATATTGAATCTATGATTGCGCGGACTAAGTGTTGCAATAAATGACAAATATAGATTTAATATAAGTTTCAATTATCATTTGATCAATCTCGTCTCTTAATTATATTTGTGCTTTATTTACAGATCGAAATGTGTAAATGAATCGTAGTTGTAATTAAGATTAAGAAGAAGGCGAAACAGCTTCGTTTTTGCGCGGTTAACTCCGCGTACCAAAGGCGACGCGAATGACGCGGCGTTGTGACGCTGCATCTACTTCTCGCTCTCGGCCTTGTGTTCATGAATTTTTCGTATTTCGAAATATATTTGATGCTCGAAATACGGAAATAACAATCATAAAGGGCAAGTATATATTATAATATACGCTCTTCTTTTATAATTATATTCCGTATTGCAGATTGATATTCGAAATCTCATTGCCAATTATTCAAGCGATATACTTTCGATGAACAAATTTTAAATATGCGTTCGAACGAATTATTAATATGCAATTACTGAATCTATAATCACGCGATAGTTAAATATCGCGTATGAAAATATATATTCAAATTATATATTCAAGTATTATATAAGTTTTAATTATCATATTTGGTCGCGTGTTTCCACTTGTCTGAAAGTCAGTCCGTTCCGCCGTGTCATCCCCTATCTGCCGTATTTCGCGAATGAAGTGTAAATGCGATCAAAATGGAGAAACGTCGTTTCCTTGTACGGTTAACTTCACGCATAAAAAGCGACGCGAGACGCGACGACACGACATCACGCCACATACTTTCAACCGAATAATCAGTATGCTAATACTGTATTAGACTCTGTATATATACGCGATATTTACATTGTTACGAGAAATAAAGGCAAAGTTAATTATTGATTACCTTAGTAAAGAAATCCAACGATGAACAATCCTTTCGTTTCTCATCGTTTTATATTCAGCAGAAATTTAAAAATGTTACTGTATGGAAAAGTCACAATCGATTCGAAGACAGGGCTGCGAATTTTTCCAACGTCGTTTTATATTTAACAGAGATTAAAATCTGGAGAAAATCAATCGATTCGAAGACAAGGAACAGTGCAAACTTTTCCAACGTTAAAATGACAGGATGTACTCCCGTCTCCTGTTCGAATCGCAAAAACGTGAAGTTATAAATCACACGCTATTTATAGGAGCCGTCAAATGGCAAACCCCACCACTCGCATGCCAACCAATGAGCGCGAGGCCTCGCTGCGGATGCTTATTGGATCGCGCTGGCTTCCGAATGTGGTATATAAATGCTACGCGCAAAAAATTTTTCAGTCTCTTTCAGAAATTGGGCCATGCATTTCGTAAAGGTAGAGAAGCCTGTGTCATTCGGCAAGCGTTTTTATAATGTTAACATGTATTTAGTATATAGTATATTTAGTATATATCACATTACTTATATTGTAAAATTTCAAACATAAAAGAGTGTTTTGAATACGGACTAGAAATTATATTTTTTTTTAAAAACTAATTTGAATAAATAAATGAAGACTATCGAGAAAATTATGAAAGAAAAATCGAACTAATAAAATAACAAGCAACTATAAATTGTGAGTCATTTAAACACTACACAAATATAGAAATATATTTATTACTTAAAGTTGTATAATAAAATTTTAAATGAAAATATTAATATAGCAATACTACTCCACTGAGTTTTATTGTTAGGTATTAAGTATATTATGATAATAATTATTACGCTTACTTGTGTATGAAATGAAAACGACATTAAGTTTTTATATAATATATGCGACATTAGAAAATGAACTTAACGAAATTATATCGGCAGAAAGAAATCTGAGAGAGAACATATTGTTATGTAGTTAACATCCACTTCTTCAGAGGCAGTAGTGCGCGGCAGCATTTTGCAGTTACAGATTTTGGGCCGATTTGTCCTCTCTCAGGTTTCTCTCTTGTGAAACCTAACCTAGTTGTGACTCAGTTCTAAATGTAAACAAGCTTACAACTTACGATGCGTCCACGTAAATTCAAGCTTCCATGTGATGTGGACAGGTACAAAATTACGTGTAAAGAGCAAAAAACATTTCTTTGATGATTCTAAGATTGATTTTACACAATATCAGATAGCATTAATTTTATAAAATTTATCTGAAAGAGAGAAAGAGATGTTCTCTTTTGATTTCCTTATTTTTTTTTTAGTTTTTTGCAGGCCGACAAGAAGGTAGTAATTGTCTCGGTATTCGGTAAATCTCAGTATCGAGCGAAAGGATGCAAGACAGATATGCTGAGTTCTATACTCCAGTTGAACCTCCTGGATGAACCAGAAATAGATCAGCAGTCTGGAGTGAGATATCTTCTTTAACTCTTCATGACTTTCTAATAAATAATATGACCTTATGTTCCCTTTATCAGTGTGAAATTGAGGGATATTATAATCCTAAAGAGAAAACAGTTTGCCTGAATTTAAGAGGATTTCTGGATGCTCATACGCTTCTGGCCGAATATGATAAATTCACGGAGAAGCAGGACTGCAAGGACTTTCTTAGTGTTTGGGCACATATGAAAGATAAATATGCGAGAGCACTCCTAGTGTTATTTCATATATCTCATATAATGGTACTTACTCATCCGACACACACTTTTGACTACAGTTATGTGCATTTATTTCGTGCTATGGACATAGTCAGGTTAGCATCTTGTCGACTTGTTTGTCGATCAACTTTTTGTCGATCAAATTAAATATTTGATTTATATTAAGAAAATATATAGAAATAAAATTTAGAAATTAATTTTTCTTTCAATGAAATAATGATTACAATATATTTGTAACAGGCAAAAAATTTCTCCTCAACTTTCTGATGTATTAAGCTGCATTCATAGTCTACCCAAGGATTGGATCTCGAATGCCAGACCCTGTTCACCACGGGTATTATTTTATTTCGAAACCTGTCCTGCGGTATTTCAGAATCCAGACAATGAAGCTAATATTAAAAAACTAGAGCATTCCCTTGAAGATCAAATTTATCATGTATTAAGGAAAAATAGGATTGTTACGAATATTAGGTATAAAATTAATATATTGTCTTTTTAAGGCCCAATTGCTCTAACATTATTTTAACTTTAAGCGAGACTTAAAATTCTCTCTTTCTTTAGAGAGAGAGAGAGAGAGAGAGAGAGAGAGAGAGAGAGAGAGAGAGAGTGTGTTTTAAGCTTTGCTTAAGTTAATATTGCAATCAAATCAGGTTCAACTAAACATTGAAATCACTTTCTTTGTTGATAGCTCAAATTCCTTGTTTGCGATACCAGCTAATCAGGAATTTGTGTATGTGCATACCGGAAATACAGACTCCAGGGACATGTTGGGTTACATGGCGAGAAAATTAATACAAAGTTGTAAAACCAGTTCCAGTGGTACAACATTGAGAAGCCTCAGTAATCTGGATTCAAACCCTATCATAGTGGATGACACCGAGACTGGTAAATTGATGAAATAAGTGGACATGGAAATAATAAGTGATATATATAAATAAAACATAATTATTGATATATATATATATATATATATATTGTGTGTATATT